AATCAATTTCCACCTTTGAATCATGTTTTTTTTAATGCTTTTTTGTTTGGTGGAGAGCAGGGCTGTTGTAAAAAATATAAACAAATACACTGAAATCCCCCAAAGCTTCTGAGTCACGCTACCATCTGCTGCAATGAAAGTTCCCTGTGACTTGTGAAGGTGGAATGATAGTCTGTTGGCAATTTTACAGCTGGGTATTTTTCCCAATAGCTGTAATCATGATCATACAATTATACGTTATTAATAGCAGCTAACTTGGAGGAAAGTGTATGAAGGATGATAAACTATAAACAATGCATGCACAAAGAGGATTTGGATGTTTGGGGAAGAGATACTGAATTTCTGTGGTGGTTGAGTGAATTCAGTAATCGTTGGCTTAAGCTCAAGAATTGGGAGATAGAAAGACAAAAATTCCATCCATGGGCAAATTTACTACTTCATAGAAGACATTTTCTTACAAAATCTGGGAATCAATCAAAGTGGGTTCAGTCCTAGGCTTGATGGGGCTAGGAAGACAGTAAAAAAAAAAAAAAATTCAGCTCTTGAGAAAAAAAAAATGAGCCTGGAACCGATCTTAAAGTAGAAGAAAGCAAATCTTAAGTTCTGGAAGTAACTTAGTCTTCTAAGGTTCTATGATGGAGCTTTGAAATCCTAGGTAATGATCTAAACATCAATAATTCCCATTGTTTTTCCAGGACAATAATGTTATCTTGTAAGATCTTGCATGTTACAATTCCCTTTCATGTGATTCTATTCCTATTTTATAGTTTCAGAGAGAAATAAAGCAAAAGAACACAACCTCTTTATAAATGCATTGAACATTGCAATTGCTAGAAACAAATGCATATTGGTTTTATTGTTGAACTTTATTCTCAAGGAACTCTTTGAGTTGCAGTATTGTAATGGAATTGTAGAAATAATATCAAATAAAATTTTCTCCATCTCCACTACATTACAATTTTTAAAATTCTTGAGGAAACATATAATCAAATGATTATAAAATCATCATATATAGTTCTATCTTACCTCTTTTTATAAAAGTTGAAACATAAATAAAATACCACCAGTATGCTTCTTTTACGCAATGCAATTTTAATTTATAATCTGAACCATATTTATTCATCTGCTTTTCTACAAGGTCATGTATTAAGATAATCAGATTATGGCCTTCACCATCAACAGTGGAAAGAGCCTTTTATGGTGGTGACCTCCCACATTTGAGTTCTCCCAAAGGTATTATATTTCATCTAGTGTTAGACTGAAATACCTTTAAATGTCTAATTATTGAAAGTGATTCTTGTATCCTCGGTTGGTTAAACATTTACTATTTATTCTTCCTTTCCTTTTTTTGTTTTTTGATAGTTCTAAATTGCAGTGTTGTGTTCCTTGAAATCCATTTTTGGAGAGTGGTCAATCTAGAGCAGGGATAAGCAGGGCTTTTTTTTCTCATAGAACGCCCAGAACGAAGTTCCGGCACCTTTTTTGGATGGACCCTTGTAGGGTAGGCAAGGCGGGTTGTATGACGTGTGTGAGTTCCGGCACTTTTTTTTTTTTTTTTTTTAGAAAAAAAGCACTGGGGATAAGTAATTCAGTGCCTGTAGGTCTACAGACTTTTTTCCTGCGCTTCTGACATTGTATCTCAGCTACCTTATTTTTTCTTTTAGTCTTTTGATTTAGAAAATAAATGGGATAAATAACATGCTGCAGAACAAACCCCAAATCTCTAGCATCAGCTTTATTCCCAATAATATACTTGGGGCCTATATAGGTAACCTTAGAATATTAAAATATTTGGTGGCTGCTATTGTAGCATGCATGTCTAGATGCATGGACATTCACTGGTTTCAGCTACTTTCATCAAAAGGATTGTAGAGTCGAGCCGTGAACTCTACCCCTTTTGAATTTGTGTGCAGAGACACGATACACATACAAAAGCGGCGAGGTTTGTGTTTTTACAGTGGGATGCTGTTTTCATCAGACTCAGTCAATTATTATAACCTCCTCACTCCAAACACTGCTGTATGAAAACATGACTATTTCCACACAAAAAGCAACAGAAGAAAATGATGGAGAGGTGGGAAGCAACTTTATTTGCCCACCAATAAATAGATGTTATAAGTCTAGCATAGTCACTATGGCAGCTACTTTATCAATAGTCAAGCTTTCCGGGGGCAGCTGTTTGGTAATGGCACAAGCTTTTTGGATTGGACTGGCAGCTTTTGCCACTGAACGTAAAAAAAACACCAAAACCCCACAACCCCCCCCCTCCCCAAGCTTGAGACAGAAATATGGCTATTGAAAGTAGAACAATGAACCCTGGAAATAAAATTATGGGCTTGGATCTCTAATGACTGCAGTTTTATTCCTAATAATTCCAGTCACAAGAGCTTTTCTCTATTTTCAGTGGGGGGGGGGTGGTTCCTGAAATTGCCCATACAACTCTACATTTATCATTTCAATCCTTGGGGAAGTTATTTCACTTCCAGAAACTACCATTGCACTTCTGGGATGTTCATTTCAATGATAAGAACAGGAGAGCCACTCTCAGACAGATGGGACCAGATGAGGGCAACATCAAATGGTACTGGAGGCAAATTGTTTTCCAATAGAGAACCCAGCCTTCCTATCTAGGATGTATGACATAAGAATTATATAGCTGCTATCTATGTACACACAAGGATTGAACGAAAAATAATGCCTCCAATGTTACAAGTCACCAAGTCATGGCAGGATAGGTAGTCCTTGACTTACAACCACAACTGAGCCCCAAATTTCTATTGCTAAGTGAGACATTCGTTAAATGAGTTTTGTCCTCTTTTACAATCTCACGTGCCATGGTTGTTAAGTGAATAACTGCAGTTATTAAGTTAGTAACACTGTTAAGCTTCCTCATTGACTTCGCTTGTCAGAAGTTCACGAAAGGGAATCACATGACCCGGGGATAATGCAACCGTCATAAATATGAGTCAGTTGCCAAGTGTCTAAATTTTGATAATGTAACCACAGGTATGCCTCAATGATTGTAAATGTGAAAAATGGTCATAAGTCATTTTTTTCCAGTGCTGTTGCAATTTCAAACAGTCACTAAACAAACTGTTGTAAGTTGAGGACTACCTTACTTACAAGCTAAATGTTTGATGGTTCTTTGTGTGCTTTCATTTCAGTTATTATGAAGTTGTTGAAAGAAAAGTTTGTGTTGCTGTTGGTTGTAAAATGAAAGCCTGCAGAGAGACCTCACCAGTGAGCTTTAAGGAAAGTACATAATTGATTTTGATTGACGAAAGAGTCTCTTCAACTGAAACTGAACACCGATTGTAGGTCATTGATGACAGCTTATGAGAATACTGTTATTTGGGCAAAAAGGTGTAAAAATGGTGTACAAATGGTGTGATTTGTGTGATCAACCCATGACAATTGTGTGATCAATGTGACAATAGCCAATGAGTTTCACATAAGAAAAATTGACGAACAGATTAGTCAAAATGAAATTACTGTTAAGACTGGCTTGTCAGAGGATCACGTTACTAACATTTTTCAATGTCAGAAGTGTTTTGCAATTGATTCTTTGCACATAGATGGAATTGAAATTTTCAGGCAAATTGTGTCATGCAATGAGAATGAAGGTGAGAAATTTCTTTGCAGCAATATGACAATAAAACCTGAGATCATTATTAGCAGAAATGAAATGTTAGTCCATGAAATATCATCACAAAATTTTACTGCTTGAAAAAAATATCAAAACTGAGGCAAGACAACTTAAGATCACTGATTTTTTGGGATGCAGATAGTTTTATTGGCATTGATTTTTCCGGAAGATGATGCTATTACCAACTCAGAGTGCTATACTACAACCCTCAAAACTTTGAAACAAGGTTCAGAAGCACAGAAAGGGTTTTTCTTCAACATGTCAATGGTAGGCTACACTCTTCATGAGCCAGCCAAGAGGGAATCGAAAACTTGAATCTCACCATCTTGAGATTCTGCTACACCATTCAGATTTGGCCCTATCTGACTTGCACCTTTTTACCAAATTGAAGAAATTTTTTGTGGGCATCTATTTGACTGAAATGAAAAGATGAAAAAGACAGTCAGAGACAAAACGTGAAGTTCTTTCATGTTGTCTTTAAGAACTTGTCCATCATTGGCAGGAATATGTAGTGAATGTTTGTGATTGTGCAGAGGAAGAAATACAGGTAATGAAAAAGCTTACTTCACTGAGCATTTCTATTTCGTTTATTAAAATACTTTTATTTTACTCATTGAAAGATACAGATGGAGGCATTACTTTTCATTCAACCATCTTAATAAAGAGCCCTCCATTAGCTCAGCTAAACCAACTATTTTCCAATCTGATTCATTTTGAGCTTTTCCATTCAGGATAGGCAATAAAACACTATCAACAAGGGCTAATGGTTCCTTTCAATATTTCAGCTCTACAGATGAATAGCACTTGACTATCTGCTGTGAGTAATCTTGCTTTTCCTTTCCTACCCCCTTCTTTTTTAATTTTCTGTCGTAACTTTTTAGACCAAAATCTGCACGACAGTATCTTAAAGTGTAAATTGCTATGAAGTTAAGGAATGTTAATATTCGAATATATAGATAAAAGATAGCTGAAAGGACCAGCATTCACTGGTTTCCTTCTCCTGCATATATTTATCAAAGCTTCCTCTAACGTTCATCATCCCTGCTACAGCCCTATGCTTCCAGTCTCTACTTGTCCTTCCTGTTCCCCTTTTGTAACTGTCAACAGAAATCCTGCTTGTAGCCCCAACTGCCACATACAGAGAATACAGAGAATACAGATTATTCCCTATATGGAACTGAATCCCTTGCTGGGACCCCGCCTCCAACCAGGATTTTCTTTCTTTCTTTCTTTCTTTTTTTGGTAGCCTCTCCCCTTTCCTGAGGAATGAGGTAATGCGGGACTCCGATTGGTCCAGGAGGCGGCACTCCAAGAGCCATGTGGGGCGCGCTGAAGGCTATAACTCCCTGCAACCGCCCAGAGCGCAGAGCGCGCACGAGAGTTGCTGGGGAGCGTCAAACTCTCCGAGAGGAAAGTCGAGCTTGCCCTTTAATAGAAGCGGAACCGCGCAAAAAAGTCTTGCTCCGTTTAGCGCGTGGAAGGAGCGTCCGGACGGAGCAGAACTGCAACTACCTTTTTACCCTCCAGTCTTTCTAAAAGCATCTTCCTCTATTTCTTAACGATTCTCCACGTGAGTGGAGACCGACGAGTGAGGGAACAGTACTACTGTAACAGCGGTCGCGGCACAGTATGTCAGGGCGGGTGCTGAGTTTTTTCTTGCTGCTCTGCAGCTGGAGCCTGACTGAGCTGCTCGTCGAAGCTTGTACCTGCGTCCCAGTTCATCCCCAGGATGCCTTCTGTAACTCCGACATTGGTGAGTGTGGCATTTTCCTCGCTAACTGCACTCGGCAGTCTCTGTAGCAGCATTTGCCTGACGGTCAGGTTTTCGAGAGCGTGTATTCTCATTTGAAGCCCAGGCGTGAAATTTGTTGACAGGTTTACAATTCCAGTCCGAACGGATTGGATTTAAATATAGTATTGAACTTAAACAGCGAAAACACTGGCCAAATAAGTTGTTCCCTCATTGTACTTTGGGGTTGCTTTGCAAAATAGTGAACCACCAGCGTCACCAATCCGAATTGTTTGCACCCCTTTCTGTCCTTCTGCACGTAGATGAATGGCACACCTACTTTGTGGCAGTAGCCTAATGGTTAAAGGTAGCTGGAAAGTTCCGTAACACAGCATATTAACTTTGTGAAGTCAGGGCAGATTTTTCTGGAACAAACTAGAAAAAGTGAGTTTCAACACCACTTCAGTCCTAGAATGTCAATACTTGAAAGCTTGTCTGACTGTTTTGAGGGGATATTATTTCTAAATAGTGTTGTACAGTATAGGCTAGCAAGCTTTAAAGTTGTAATTTACAAGATAAAGTTATGTGCTAATACTACTGCTCCACCCAGTGTATTTACCTGCAGGTTATAGATTAAATATGGAAAAGAATCTGAAATTTACTTAAGCATGATTCCTATGTATGTATGTCTAACCTGTCTGCATATGTAAATATATGTAATGGGACGATAATTTTTTTCTGCACAGTTACTACTTATCCAGATAGTATGCTATACAGGTTAAGTGCTAGACCAGTGGTTCTCAACCTTTCTAATGCCGCGACCCCATAATACAGTTCCCCATGTTGTGGTGACCCCCAACCACTTATACATCACTGGGTGCCAGGGGCGTGGCCAAAGAAAAGGGGGAAAAATGGCGGACAGCCTTGCTTGGCGACCCCCGTGAAATGGTCGTTCGACCCCAAATGGGGTCCCGACCCACAGGTTGAGAACCACTGTGCTAGACTAAGACTGGGAGATCTAGCTTCAGGTAGAAACTTACTCTAGGTGACTTTGGTTCAGCTGTTTTTTCTCAGCTTTATCCTATCTTATAGGATTTTTCTTTAGAAAAATATAAGGAAGTGCTGCCTACAGTACCTTGAGCATCAAACCCATTTCACCAAAAATGATTTCATGTTATTAACTCCTTCCCTTGCAATATGCTTTGGTTACTGAGTGGTCTCAGCTGAACATTTTTGTCATCTCATTAGTTTTAACTTTTAATTTGATGGTTGCCTGTCAGGCATATAATACTGGAAACAATTTATCAGCCTTTACCTTCTGATGAGCATTTACAGACTACAAGGTTTCCATTCCCCAGTTTCACACAAACCTGAAGCTGACCGGATGACTTCTGTATCCCGGGAAAATGCAGAGACTGGCAGAGAACATTATAAGCCAATCAGTGCTTTCTTTAGCTGACCAAGGGCACAATACAAAAATGTCAATCATTTTCCTGAGCAATTGGGTGTGCTAGATTACCACTCTGTAGGAAGTACAAGTTATTGGCAACATGTTTCTTCCACTCATGCTTTCAGTATTGTTGTGTACATTTGTCTCACTGTTTTCCAAAAATAAAATCTAAGCAATTGCCACCAAGATTCCTAACGGTAAAGTTGCCATTCTGCGTGCGACGCGATAGGGAGATAACATAAGAGAATGTTTGAAACTAGGTCTTTTCCCAATAGTTGGTGAATCATAGTTGTTTGTTGCCATGGTAGCTCACATGGGAGAGAAAGAAAGATATATTCTAAACAGTCCCTATGGAAAGACACCAGAAACAGAATGGCGATGCTTTGAGGCCATGTAGGGCCAGTAAGACTGCCTACAAGCTCCACAGAGTCACATTGTTGAAAAGAACATAGGAGCTTTGCTTCAGTTTCTAGTAAACACTAGCGCAGGTAGGAGCAAAATGTTTTGCTTTCAGAATGGTTAGTTCTCAATTCAGACACTTCTGCAGCTGGTTCCAAACTAGGATAAAATCCTTGTATAAAGAATACAATTTACTAATCCCAAACTTGTGCTAGTTTCATATTGGTGTAAAACCCTTCCAGAATATTTGGAATCCAGCCATCTCAGTTTGTTCCCATGCTAGTGAAATCTTTGTAAGCTTATACCATAAACCACATGGGAAGTAAATGGCATGTGTGGCATCCTGAACCAACTACAGAGAAAAACATATGGGTGGAAGCATTTACATGGACTAAGAATAAAGCAAGTATGATGGTAGTTTTCAGATAAATAAAGTTTTGACTCTTGAAATGAAATACAAAATCAAAATTAGACTGGAATGTATAGACTGGAAGCCTCTGATAAACCCATAGATTAAAGGTAATCCTTCTTTCAATTTGCTGCCTAAATGGAAGTATTTTGTAGATATTTTCATTACTTAATGTTTCATTGCTACTTTATGTATGTGGAATTAGTTAACTTTTAGTTTCCAGTAACTCCCATGGAAAGGTTTGTTTGTTTCTAAATTGAGACTTAAAGATTGTAAACTAGTGATGGCGAACCTTTTAGAGACCAAGTGCCCAAACTGCAACCCAAAACCCACTTACGTATCGCCGGGTACCGGGTGGGCATGGCCCACTGGGTGGGCGTGGCCCACTGAGTGGGCATGGCTATGGTAGTCATGGCCATGTGGGTGGGTGTGGCCAGGGTGGGTGTGGCCACCTCAGTGTTGTTCCTGTAGAGGGATGCCTATGGGGCCCGGGCAGGGTTGGAGGAGATCCAGGGGTCTGGCAGGTGGGGCAGTGGGCAGGAGGCTTGTCCTGCAGGGTGAGGCGAGAGAGGGGGCAGGGTGGGGGGTACCATTGGAGTGGGGCAAGGCAAGGCGAGGCAAAGGCCGGGGCAGGGGCTGGTTGCAGACAAAGTGAGGCTCCGATGAGGAGGAGGAGGTGGAAGAAGGTTTAAGCAAGCTTAGCAACCGGAGTGGGGATTCCCCCTGCCAAAACAAATGTGCTTCATAGTAACCTCAAAGCACAACAGAAGAGACCAAAACCTGCTGCAATCACCCAGCAGGGGTGGGAGGAGAATAAAAACCAAACAGCCCCCCCTGCCAATCCTCAACAGAAATGCTCATGAAAACGAAAGCCTCAGACAGGGGCAGGTGGGTGTCTTGCTCAACTAATGCCTTGGGGGGAGGAAGGGGGCAACTACACCCCCTCTCAAATACCCTCTCAGGAAAGCAGGATGAAAACTCCAAAAAGCACAAGGAAAAAAAGTTAAAACAGAAGAGTGTCTCAGAACACCTGTATTAGCAGATGCAACTGATATCAAATCTGGATGAAGAATGGCCAATAAAGAATTTTTGGTTATCTATTTTATTTTTCCTAATAAGCTGTAACCAACTTCCTCTGTTCACTTTGCAAAACCTGTGGGTCCCACACCATTCCACATACCTGCAAGAAAGCAGCTGCAATCAGAGTATTCTAACTGTAACTTTGAAATGTGGCACCACTGATTTAACTGTTGTCACACTGCAAGTACAGTTGGAGTTTACATTACTAGTTTATCCAGCATGTGTTATTTATTTTATCTTTCTTCTCCTTATACAAAACTACATCTTCTATACACAGAATGGAGAGTTATTGTCAGTTTCTTGTCCAGTTTTAGTTTCCCTCTGCATCTGATTGGCCACTGGAGGAAAATAACGCCAACATTTGCTTTTATCAAATATTCTTATCCCAGTTGGGTGGGGGAGGGGAGAGACAGAAATGCTTTCTGCTATCTGAGGGTGTGTATTTCAATACCATTTCCAAAGCTGAATTCCTCGACATATAGATTATTCCTTTACACTTGTTAAATCCAGAAAAATAGGTTAAATCAATAACCAGGCTAAATATAAATGTCTATCAGCAAAGCAGGGTTCATACTCGGGGGGGGGGAGGGGGGTTGGGATCCTCTCTCTTGCATAAAGGTGGGACCTGTGTTGCGAAAATTGAGCCATGCAGAAAAAAAAAAGAACGATACTTAATGCAGAAACTGGTAATCAGATCACAAAACTACCTCCACTTCTTTGAGAGATACCACATGATTTTCCCATTTGCCCACTGGATACAAAACAGACATAGAGGACTAATGGCCTTTGGGACAATAAATCTGATGGGTAGCTCACTGTAGAAGAAACTTACTACAATTAGTCCTCGACTTACAACAGTTCATATAGTGACCCTTCAAAGTTACAATGGCACTGAAAATAAAAATGACTTACCATTTTTCACACTTACAACCATTGCAGCATCCCAGGGTCATGTGATCAAAATTCAGACACTCAACATATTTATCCTTGCAGTGTCCTAGGGTCATGTGATTGATTACCTTTTGCAACCTTCTGACAGGCAAAGTCAATAGGGAAACCACTTAACAACAGTGTTTCTAACTTCACAACTGCAGTGATTCACTTAACAGCTGTGGCAAGAAAGGGCATAAAATGGGGCAAAATTCACTTCATAGCTGTCTTGCTTAGCAACTGAGATTTTGGGCTCAACTGTGGTTGTAAATAGAGGACTACCTGTACAATTTTTTTTAAAAAACTAGTTGCTCACTGATAACCAGAAGGCCTGAAGAACAAATGGCAGGTCTTCCTCCACCAAGTCCAATTGCTATCCAGCTTTTCCCAATTTGGATTCTTCCTTCCAGATTTGCTAGGTAGAGAATTCTAGGACTCATCATCCAAGCTCATTTCTTATACTCTTATATTCTTCAAGTAATTATAAACTTTTGTGCTCAGTTTCTAGTGATATATGTGGTTATTTGGAACTACTTATTGGTCCTGTAAAATTTCTATGTTTAATGGTGGAGTCATATATATATATATATATATATATGTAGGTCTTTGGTTGTTCGGGTTTTCTCCCACGTAAAATTGGAAGTGTCTTGGCGACGTTTCGACGAAGTCCCATTCGTCATCTTCAGGCTGCTCGAGGCACGAAGCTGAAAGCACCAGCCTGAAGATGACGAATGGGACTTCGTCGAAACGTCGCCA